GGTGAACACAGCCTTATAAGCTCCGCCTCCACATGGTGGACAAACAGGTTGGTCACATGCAAATGTGGGCCATCAGCCAAACAATAGTTTGTTAGTGTCTTGATTGGCTCTATTGTTCATAGAGGGTCATGCTATTGACTACATTCTGTACCACAGATTGTACCCAGGTGAGGCCACTCCTAGTCTGAATGGTTTACCCAAAATTCACCAACAAGACGTACCTGTAAGACCTAATCTGTGCACTGCTACAGGTGATATTTTACTAACAGACTGACATTAGCTGCAGCCTGGAGTGTTTGAGTCTCACTAGGAGCAGAGAGAACCTTTACTGACAGAACAGCAAACGTTAGCACACAACTGTCAACAGAAACATTAAATCAACTCTAAAAACATTCTTTATATCACATATAATTCTTCACAGAAACACTATGTTTACATGCACAAAACTCTTTGATCAGATTGAAATATATTCAGGCTAAATAATCGGAATGCATCGTTTACATGGCAATCTGATCATGATGAGTGTTTACATGCACCAGGCTTTTATTCAGAATAGAAGCACTGACGTGCAGAGTTGTTTACTTTCCTTTAAACACCACAGAAGAAGAAGTTCTACTTCTGTGATGAACATAAACGTCTTCTGAGCTCAGAATGGACCCACGACAGGTTTTAATGATGGTGGAGACGTTACTGCACAGGTTGGTTGAGCTGCAGGTGACGTGCAGATTATTATTATTTTTGTTTGTTTTTTTGTGCGTAGCGGTGCAGGCTGTGTGTCTTCCTTCTTTACTGAATGAGAGAACGGGAGGAAAAGTTCTGTCTGCTGGAAACTCCCTCCAGAACCGCTGGATGAAAGTCAGCAGACATGCACAGTCAGGTCAGTTCTCCACAATCTGAATAAGATGATCAGATTGTTTACATGCACGTCATTCAGATTATCAATCGGCATAAACCACCTCTCATTATGACTACAAATTCATTCGGATCGAGCTGAATCGGGTCAGAATAATCAGAATGGGGTGTTTGTTTACATGATGCATTTTTATTCAGAATGGCTGTTTAATCTGATTACTTATGTCCATGTAAACGTAGCTACTGATATCTTTAATCCTTCAAAAAACTTTATTCTGTCTGAAATCTGCTGCAGCTCCTGGCTGAGTTCTCCTCTCCTACTTTTAGCTGATGTTCTATTTCCAGCTAAAAACCTTCAGTTATCTTTGATTCTGTTGACTTTTAGCTTCTTGTAGCTAGCCTTTAGCTTCTTTTAGTTAGCCTTCAGCTTCTTAAGCTAACTTTTATCTTTATCAGTCAGTTTCAGCTCTTTGAAGGTTTAGATTTAAACTCTGTTACCTTGATGATGTTTTAATCTTCAGCTCCTTTATTTCTTCTTGGTTCTGTGAGGAGGTGGTCTCAGGCTCTTCATCATCAATGTGATCATCATCATCATCATCATCATCATCATGGTTCTGACTCTCAGCTTCCTCCACATCTGAACAAAACAAAGACTGTTTGTTCCTGAACAGTTTGGATCCATTCCTGGTTCTGTTCAATGTTTACCTGTTTGTGTGTTTGTTTGAATGTATGGTATAATAAATGTACTTTTTTTCATTGATTGTACATTCTCAATAAATACTGTATATCTATACAAAAAATAATATAATATAAAATATATATGTATGTATACCTGACATCTGTGTGAAAGTTTTAGGACAACTGCAATTCACTTTAATTTTGGTCCCACTGGATCCAGCTTTTCAGTCTGGTCAGAATTAAACCTTATTTCTCTACTTTATTCAAGTAGTTATCTACAGCAGGTAGAATAGCAATTGTTCATAACTTTTTCACAGAAGCAATTGTTCATAACTTTTTCACAGAACATGCATTTAAAGTTATGTTTCAAATAGTGTACATTGATGAATCAGTTTTTGTTTTGCCAGAACACATGTTTTTGTGTGGGTTACGTTGTGCTCACACTACAGCGTTTGTTTGTCTTAGACTAAATTATTTTGTTTTGGAAGAACCATCAGAAACTCTTTGGTTGTAAGCTTGAATAGACAGTCTGTGGTTGTTCATTGTGATGGGCTCACTGACAGCTGATTTATCATTCCTACACTCAAAGACGACGTTTCATAAATAAGGAACAAACTACCTTTAGGTTTTTGTCTGAGTTCTTTTCAAACAGATGTATTGCAACCTTGAACATTACAAGGCATACACTATTTCGAGAAACATACTTCTAGGTCTGTTTTATTAAAAAACATAACATAGTACAGATTTTGAAGAGGGATTTATTGTTATTTATTTATTTTTATTGTTTTCCTAATTCTCATTCATACCGTTGGTATTTTGTAACAACAGTGTTAAAACCAGCATTTTAACTTTATTTATTGTTGAACTGATAACTCTGTCAGATCGTTGTGTGTATGCCAGTTCTTGTTGTAATGTTTATCTCTTCTTCCGCAAGAATGTGTAAAGTCAGTCATCTCCAGTGTAACATGAGTTACAGTCAAACTTGGTATTGAGCTCACGTGGTGTGATATACACTCACTGGACACTTTATTAGGTACATCTGTCCAACTGCTCATTAATGCAAATGTTGAATCAGCCAATCACATGACAGCAACTTAATGCATTTAGGTATGTAGACATGGCCAAGAAGATCTGCTGCAGTTCAAACTGAGCATTAGAATGGGCAAGAAAGGTGATTCAAGTGACGTTGAACACGATATGGTTGTCAGTGCCAGAAAAGGCTTGTATGAGTTATTCAGAAACTGCTTATCTACTGGAATTTCCCGCACATCTCTAGGGTGCCACTCCTGTCAGCTCAGGACAGGAAACTGAGGCTACAGTTCACACAGGCTCACTAAAATTGGACAATAGAAGATTGGAAAAACATTCCCTGTTCTGATGTCTTGATTTCTGCTACGACATTGATGGTAGGGTCAGAATTTGGCATCAACAACATGAAAGCATGGATCCATCCTGTCTTGTATCAATGTTTCAGGCTGGTGGTGGTGGTGCAATGGTGAGGGAGATATTTTCCTGGCACACTTTGGGCCCATTAGTATCAATTGAGCATCGTGTCAACACCACAGTCTACCTGAGTATTGTTGCTGACCATGTCCATCCCTTTATGACCACAGTGTACCCATCTTCTGATGGCTACTTCCAGCAGGATAACGCATCATGTCATAAAGCGCGAATCATCTCAGACTGGTTTCTTGAACATGACAATGAGTTCACTGTACTCAAATGGCCTCCACAGTCACCAGATCTCAATCCAATAGAGCARCTTTGGGATGTGGTGGAACGGGAGATCTCATCATGGATGTTCAGCTGACAAATCTGCAGTAACTGCATGATGCTATTATGTCAATATGGACCAAAATCTCTGAGGAATGTTTCCAGTACCTTTTTGAATAAATGCCACAAAGGATTAAGGCAGTTCTGAAGGCAAAAGGGGGTTCAACCCAGTGAACATAAAATGACCAGTGACCGTATAATTGAGGGAGTGTAAAGGACATGTACAGTGAATGTAGATATGTCTTTTATGATTAGAAAATATTATGCAGTATGTGTTGACATTATTATATTAGGGAGAGTGATTATTTCCAGAGAACTAACTTCCAACTTGGACATTTATTTTTGTTCTGATGTGTTGTGGCATCTTATGCCAGTTGTTATAACTTGCTGCCAAGAGGCAGACAATGTTTTTCCCCATGTATGTGTGTGAGTGTGAGAGTGTGTGCATGCAATTGTGTACACAATGTCTATTAGCAAACTATTTCATAAACCACTGGACAGATTTTAATGAAACTCACAGAAAGTAATCAGTTGATGTTGCTCTACATTTGATTAGATTTTGTAGTCAACTGGAGGACCTTAAAAACACAAAAATGTCAATAATTCAGTCAATTTTACATACATCGAGATAAAACAGCGGCATCCAATCCTGGGCCATCATTCTGCATCTTTCACTTGTTTCCCTGCTCCAACACATCTGATTCATTATTAAAATACCTTTTTAATTTTTGCCAAAGACTGTTAGTCACTCATTCTTTCAATGCAGAGAAACCATGCAGTATAGAGGCCTTTAGGAAATCCCTCACCTAAAATCTTCATGTAAGATCTTTGCCCAAAACATTGGAATAAATTGTGTGTTTTTTAGCCATACATACAGTATACAGTGGTTTGCAAAAGTATTCATACCCCTTGAACTTTTCCATATTTTGTCACATTACAACCACAAACATAAATATATTTCACTGG